ATTATATTACATTTTAGGTAGCATCAATTTATTTATACAGAGGAAAGTGATTGAAGACATATAATGTAAAATATGAAAGAATTTTGATGTTTAAAAGTTTAAGAACAAAACCCAACACCTGTAATAATGAAAGTACTGAAGATATTAAAGAGGCAAAAATCTTACCTAAACATAATAGAAGCAATTTACAGCAAGCCTATAGCCAACATGAAATTAAACTCAACATGAGATAAACTCAAAGCAATTCCATTAAAATTAGGAACAAGACAAGATTGTCCATTCTCTCCATAATCTACTCAATTTTGTATTTGAAGCTCTAGCATGAGCAGATATGAATGAAGGTGATCAAGGGGATACAAACTGGAAATAAATCTAAGTATCATTATTTGCATTTGATATGATAGTACATACATAAGCGACCTCAAAAATTCTACCAGGTAACTTCTTCAGCAAAGTGACTGGACCCAAAATTAACTGGAAAAAAAAAATCAGTATCTCTCTTCTATATAAATGGTAAATGGGCTGAAAAAGAAATTAAGGAAACAGCACCTTTCACAATAGCCACAAATAATATCAAATATTTTGCAGTAACTCCAAGCAAGCAAATAGAAGACTTGTATGACAAGAACTTTAAGTCTTTGAAGAAAGAAATTGGAGAAGATATCAGAAGATGGAAAGATCTCCCCTGCTCATGGATCATAGGATTAACAACGTAAAAATGGCAATCTTACCGAAAGCAATCTACAAATTCAATGTAATTCTCATCAAAATTCCAGCATAATTACAGACCTGAAAGAACAATACTCAACTTCATATGGAAAAACAAAAATCCAGGATAGCTAAAATAATCCTGTACAATAGAAGAACATCTGGAAGCATCACCATCTCTGATTTCAAGCTTTACTACAGAGAAACAGTAATAAAAACTTCATGGCAGTTACATAGAAACAGACAGGTTAGTCAACAAAATTGAATCAAAGACCCAGAAGTTAATTCACACACCTATGGACACTTGACTTTTGACAAAAAGGCCAACATCACACAATGGAGAAACAAATGAATCTCAACAAATTGTGCTGGTCCAACTGGATGTCAGTATGTAGAAGAATGAAAATAGATCCATATCTGTCTCCCTGCATGAAACTCAATTCCAATTGGATCAAATACCTCAACATAAAACCAGATACACTAAACCTGATAGAAGAGAAAGTAGGTAAGAGCCTTGAATGAATTGGTACAGGAGACAACTTCTTGAGCAGAATACCAATCATGCAAGTACTAAATTCAACAATTAATAAATGGGGACCTCATAAAACTGGAAATCTTCTGTAAAGAACACATCAAAAGGACAAAAGGCAGCCTACAAGAATTGGAAAATCTTTTCATCAACCTCACATCGATAGAAGGCTGATATCCAAATGTATAACGAATCAAGAAACTAGACATCGATGAGCCAAATAACCCAATTAAAATATGGGGTACATATCTAAACAGAATTCTATCCACAGAAATCTCTAATGGCTGAGAAACACTGTAAGAAATGTTTGACACTCTTAACCATCAGGGAAATTCAAATCAAAATGACTCTAAGATTCCATCTTATATCAATCAGAATGGCTAAAATCAATATCTTAAGTGACAGCTCATGCTGGTAAGAATATGGAGCAAGGGGAACACTCCTCCATTTCTGGTAGAAATTCAATTTTACAACCATTTTGGCAATCAATTTGGTAGTTTCTCAGAAAATTTGGAATAGATCTACCATTAAACCCAGCTATACCAATCCTGGGCATATACTCAAAGGATGCCTCACCATACAACAAGGATTCTTGTTCAACTATGTTCATAGCAGATTTATTCAGAATATCCAGAAATGAGAAACCTGAATGCTCCATAACTAAATAATGGATAAAGAAAATGTGGTACTTATACAATGGGGTATTATCCAGCTATTTAAAAAATTATCTTTTATCTCATGAAATTTGAAAATTTTGATGGAACTAGAAAAAACCATAGATGGGACAGGAGTAGGAGGGTCAGGTGGGAAGGATGGAAGAAGAGACATCAGGAACTGGGGGACGTTTGGTAGGAAGTCTGAGGGGGACCTAGTGTAGTGAAGACTTCCTGAACCTGTGAGGGTGACCCTAGTGAAAACTCCTAGCAATCGAGGTCTGAAGTCTGAACTGGCCTCCTTCAGCAGGCTTCCAGTGGTTGGACTTTGTTATATTCATTTGAGTTGTTGGCCAAGGAATTCCCATGGAGAGCCCTAAACAATCTAGGCTGATGATAGGTTGGAAGGTCACCCCCTGAAAACTGACAGTGAGGTCCCATTACCAAGGACAACTTTCAGCCAGTTCACTCAATGTACAGAGGTCAAGTGGAAGCAGGCAAGGAGCCTTCACCCCTGTATTCCAGTCTTTTTGGAGTGAGACAGCACTCTGCAGGGCAGAGAAAAGGAAACCTGTACACCAAACCAGCCACAAAAACCTCGGTCTACAATCTGTTTTGCTGCAAGATGTGCTGAGGCAAAGACAACACATGTAGGAGTGGTCAAACAATGTTTGATTTAACTTGAAGCCCACACTATGAGAGGGAGCCCATGCCCTCCACAGGGCGGGGGGAGGGGCTCACCAGGAACTGGAGACTGGATAGCCTTGAGACATGTGGTAGAACCAAACACAACTAGCAAATAAATAATAATGATGATGATGATGATGAACTGATTCTTGATATTCTGTTATATTCGTAGGTCCCTTGTCCGGTCATCACCAGAGAGGCTTCCTCTGGCAGCAGAGGGAAGCAGGTACAAAGACCCACAGCCAGACATTATGTGGGAAGAAAGTCTAAATTAGAGGTCGCCCTCAGGTGCCTTCCCTCAGAGATGGGAGAGTCTTACTGGGGGGAGCGAGGAATGACGGTAGGCGTTAGATGTGGACATCGTGGGACATTGCCATTGAATCAACGAAGCAGGGTTCACACGGACTCACAGAAACTGAAATGGCGAGCACTGGACCTGCATGGGTCATATAAATTGACCATAACCAATCCCAAATTCAAAATTCTGTGCTAAGTCCCCATCAGCATTTATTCAGTCAATAAATACTCAACAGGCTAGTGCGAAGTCCTGGAAACTGTTTGTTACAATATAGATACAGTTTAATAAATAGATTATATTCATGTCCTTGTGGACAGTAGTGGGTAGTAAAAATAGATATGTAGTGTTTTTGTGTGTGAGTTTGCATAAATATAGCACAATTAAAGAAGAGGGAATGGCTTCACTGTAAAGTCCAAAATTCTCAGTGTGGGTCACAAAAGGTATTTTTTTTGTTTTTGTTTTTGCTTTATAACACAATTAACAGTACATTCCATTCTTCCTCTCTCTGAGGTTCTTTATCTCTGGCCTCTTAACTATTAACATTTTAAAATAACTTTGACATCATCTCCTTCAGGAATCTCCAACAATACCAAATTTGTCTTTGCGTATCAGAGTACTTTAAACTTGTCATAGCATGGAAAACCTACTATGTTGTCTTTTCAACATTCATTTCTTTTATTTCCAAATGTATAATAAACTCACTGATATCAAGAGTACCGTACCTCACATGGACTCAGTAATACTGAATTAGTGTTTGAAGCTGATAAGACATGAGGTGTCATTTCAGCTACTAGATATTTCTGCTATCGATGACAGGGACTGCAGAACTGGAGAAAGTTCCATTGGTTAGGGAACACTTCCCATTTACTGTTAATGTAGTCATTAACTGGAACAAATATTTGTCTGTCAATTCACTGGTATCTTCCCAGCAGATCTGAGTGATGACAGTTCATAAATACCAAATAAAGCAGGCAAATGACTGATGAACTAAGCAATTTCAGGTACACAAATTAAAGCTGATAATCAGGAAATGAAAAGAAAATTAGAGCACTTTATAAAAGTAAATTCTGAAAACAAATTAAATCATATACAAGAATAGAATTATCATCTTAAAGTTGAGCTTTCTGTAAAATAGATATAAAAATTTTTGACAATTGTAGATCTTAGAGTCTGAGCTGTTGGTGTTCTGTTCAGGAAATTGTCTCCTGTGCCAATGAGTTCCAGGTTCTTTCCCACTTTTTCTTCCAACAGATTTGGAGTGTCTTGTTTTATGTTGAGGTCTTTGATGCACTTGGAATTTAAATTTGTGCACAGTGATAGATATGGGTCTATATGCATTTTCCTACATGTAGACATCCAGTTAGAACAGGATCATTTGTTGAAGATGCTGTCTAGATCCCCAGCTCAGATGTGGCTGATAGGCAGCTCAGTCTCCATGTGGATCTCTGAGGGAGGGGAGCAGGGGCTGCCTCTATCATGGACTCAGTTAACTGCTCTCTGATCATTCACCCCTGATGATGCAGCCTTGCTAGGCCACTGAGGAAGGGGATCCAGGCAGTCCTGATGAGACTGAACAAGCTATGGGCAGAGGGCAATAGTGGAGAACTCTGCCTTTCAATGGACTAGGGGAAGAGGATGAGGGGAAGAGGGAGAAAGGGTGGGACTGGGGAAGTTGAGAGAGGGGTCTTCAATTGGAATATAAAATGAATAAATTGTGAGGAAAAAATAAAAATTAAAAATATTTCAACAACTGAAAACCATAGTTCTATAAATGGACAGAATAGCATACTTGAGACATTTCACTTTAAAAAGCAGGAATTTTCATCTTTTTTATCATTTTTAAAGCAATGACAGACTACTAAAATACATTAATTTTCAGTAATTTTATTTTATTGAGTCTCCATTCTCTTTAAACCAAAACTAAACTCTAAGAGCAGTAGCCTTGCTTGCAGTCAGTCATTGGTAGAAGAACACATAGTTTATATTTGAAATTCAAAAATAGAAACTTGATTATTAAAATATAGTTACTTTTGCAAAATAGAATCCCATCTTCATAATCCCAAATTACTGAGGCCTGTAAGAGAAAATAGAGCAAATTCTGCGGGTAGAGAGAACTAAGGAGCAACTAGCATGTTTCCCGGAAAAAAAAAGAATCTTGTGGCAGATGAAGCAGTATGTGAGTGAGTACTGTTAGAACGAGAAGTCTTTTGCCAGGTAGGAGGTAGAAGGCTGGGTCAGGCTCTACGTGGCTTTCTATACAAACGTTGTCACCTGTACACACTTTAACTTCTGGTACGTAGTCTATATGAGGATTCTCCTCACAATTCATGTTCGCAAAACAGCTGCATTTAAAATGTTCATGAAAATATTCCAGGTCTCCAACCCTGGGGCTACCCTTCACTCCAAACTTTCCATCTTCCATTAATGTAATATCGAAATGATTTGGGTTCAAGTGAAGATACACATCTGAACTTTCATTTTTTCTTGTACACACGCCTTTATCCTCACAAAGTGTTTGGCTGCACATTTTGGCTGCTAGGGTGACGTTGATTATGTATGGATTCAGGACTGTCTCCATGTATTTATGTAGGACTGGGCAACCTGGCTGTAAAAGAATAAGACAGTCAGTATAACAAGGCAAAGGTTCCTAAGTGAACAGATACACTATAATATTAACTCAAGAATGAAACATCAGACCTAACAAGTGGTAGGAAATACTTTTTCACTTTAACAAGCAAGGTTATTCCAAATATTTGTGTAACATGTAAGTTTATCAGGTCACTAGAGAATTGTTTAGCTGATCTTAATTTATCCTAGCCTTCATTTTCCCCTATAATTCATAAGTAAGTCAAGAGAATGGAATGTTGTAACTGTTAGACTATGGTATTTTAGGTTAACCTGCCCGATAGGAGTACCATCTTCATCAATGACCATGTCTGTGAACCTGGGATATCTCATCCTTTCTAAATACTAGTTTACTATCAGGATCACATAAAAAAAATGGTTTATTAGGTTATACTTCAGTTTCATCACTTGTAAATTAGGGATGATTTTAAAGCCTGCCTCATAGGGTTATTGTGAAGATAAATGATAAATGGGTATGGGATCTACCATTTCTTCAGTTAACTCTCAATAAATCACTTGAAAATGTAACAAGAACTCCATTTGTCAGATGAGTTTAAAGATCATTAAAATAGTTTCAAAACTGATGGCTCAAATGATACATAATCAAACGTGCATATAATGACAGTTCTTTGAAAAAATTCTAGACTATAGTGATGAGGAGCAGAAATGATCCATTTTAACAGTGCTGTGTTCTAAAACTTGGACATTGTCCTTTAAAATAAATTGAAGACAGTCATGGTCTCTCATGATCAATGGTTATACTGAATGGGCTGCCTGTGGTAACACATTGGCAAAAAAAAAAAAAAGACTGGAATCCTGGTAGTTCTGACTTGAATCTACACTTTTTAATTTCCTTATGTTGGCATTCTCTATTGTTGAGCCAGTAATTACCTAGCAAAGGCATCTGCTCTCTAGTCCCCAGAGCCTGTTACTATGTGAGTTTATAATGGAGAAGACTGTAGACATGATTTAGACATGTTAGTTGACAAGGGACAATTATCCTGAGTTATCTAAGGGTATTCAATATAATTAAATAAGACCTTGTAAGTGTAGAAACTTTACTAACTTTGTTTATAAGTAATGTTGGCAGAGGCAGTGATATATATATATATATATATATATATATATATATATATATATATATATATATATATATATATATATATATATATATATATATATATATATA